TGAATATTATATTTAAAAACCCACCAAACTTTATAAAGTACAAAATTTACCCGACTGAATTCGATCACAAGTTTGACACCCAACAGTATCATTATTTATGACGTTTTTTTTTTAAACATTGAAGATCCTACAAAATTATAGATTAAAAGAATCTCTGAGGGAACAAATGTCTCTTTTTGACAGCGAACAAGTTGAACAAAGCGAAAGTTGGTTTCTGAGTGGTGAATTTATTTATTTTTTGTTGGTTTTGATCGTGTGTCCAAATCGAAGCGTTTCACCACATCGCTGTTTTCTTAGATGTTCTCGTCTGTCAGTAAACTTGTCACACGACTCCGGCAGAGCAGAGATGTTCGTGTTTTCCTGCAGGTCCTGCAGAGACTTGCCTGCCTGCCTCTTGTGCGTTTGTGTGTGTTCAAGCGTTCATTTACAGTCAGGCAGACTTGTCTCATCAGTGATGAGCAGTTTGTCAGAGCAGAGGCGGAGGATCATTTAACAGGTTGCTGCATTTTGATGCTGTCGTTTTTAATGACTGTTAGCCGTCTGATGGCTTTGGCCTCATGAGTCGTGTCACGGCACGGCTCAAAACTGTGCACATGGCGTGTTTTGGAGGTATTGTTTCCAGCTAATTACAACTGTCCTCCACACCAGAACAAAGAGGCGGCAAGCCGACTGTCATTACAATGAAAGAAAGGTTTGTTTTTTGGAGTGAATCTGATCTTGCAAAAATATAACCGGGAGCTGAACTGGGGTGTGTTTTCCAGTGAATTTTCACAACAGAGAGTGTGACACACAGAGTGTCAAAGGTGAACACCCTCCCACAGCCGGTTTCCTGTTTAGGCCCCCGTGATGGAACACTGTACCAGAGCCAGCTCACCAGCCGGCCTGCCACTGCACAGAGAGACAGGCAGGAAAACAGACGTTCAGGCAGCCAGCCAGTGACTCAAACAGCATCAAACCTGCAGAGCAGTAAGTCGGTAACTCAGGTGAATCAGTTCCAGCTGGAGGAGGCCTCGCCCAACCAGCAGCACGTTGTGCCGTCACACAAATGAACTCTGAAAGCCTACGCAGTCGTGGCTCACTCCAGCTGTTTGACTCCGGTGTTTTTTGTGTGTGTTATGACTCACGGGGATGACAACAACATGCATGTCTGTGCACGCTTCAATCGCCGCTGTGTGGGGTTTTACTCTGCATGCGGCTCAGGATCCATCGTACGCTCTAAAAGATAGCGTTCAGGCTCAAGAAAAACAGTTAACGCTACAGTTTGCATCAGTCCTTTTGAGAACTTCTACAGAAATTATGTTTAACCAACAGGCTCCATTGACTTGAATGGAAGGATTTAGTCGCATAAAAAAAATTAAGTTGTTCCAACTTGTATTTCAATGTTGTTTAAGAGGAATTTGTAAGTTGTATGTGCTTACGTACTATAATTTTTAAGTTGGCAAATTAAAAAAGTTCCTCCATTGTTAATTAGATCTTAGATCAGACTTGTAATCCTGACCTCAAGACGACAAAAACTGAAGATCTCAAGCCAATTTTATTAAGTTACCTCAGCTTAAATTTAGTTTTAAGTTGATACAAGTGCCAACATTATTATGTCAACACAACCCATCAAAGTAATGTTTGCAACTTAAGATGTTTATCTAAACCAATAAATCAGAATTTTATCTTGCGACCGTGCCGGTAATTAAATGTCGGGAACGGGTCTCCTGAATGACTTTTACGAGTGTAGGCTT